TTTTATTCATATTATAATATGCATTGCGGACTTCAAACAAATACACATAGCATTCAGACTAGTAATGCAATAAAATACCATGTAATTGTTTATACAAATCCTTTCAAAAAAAAGTTAATTATATAGTAAAAATTTGCACCGCCATTCTTTTCGCCGGGGACTGTATATATATTGTAATTTTGAATAATTAGTAATTACTGGGAAATTATCTTGGACGGGACAGCCTGGGACGTCCCAGCTGGGACAGTCTGGGACATTAAAATCTTGTGGGACGCTGTCCCACCACATCACTGCGTGGATGCATCGCGACCTAAAAACATATATGAGAGAAAATTGTCCCATGTTTTCAAAGTATCCGACGACAAAACTATTCAAGAATATTTGGATAAAGAAAGAATTACCTACGAAATTTACCAACAATTAGGGATGGGAACATCCGATCCACCATTGGTCCAGTCATAGGACCGGTCTTATACCAATCTTTTTTTTGGGACGAATCGACAGGATTGATCATAGGATCGGTCTTTTTTAACGGTCTTATAAAAGATGGTCTTTTCGTCTTATCGATCGTCCTTAACCTTTTTCATTGTTAGACGTGTTTTTACGTGTTACACCCATTGAGAAATAGGTTTTTCCCAGAATTCTGTCGATGAGGTTTATTGTTAGAAATTACAATTGTCATCGTAAGATACAACATTTACCATGATATTTAAGTAAAACAAAGAAATTCCGTTTTTTTTTGTCTTCTGAAGCTTTTCTTTTTGACATGTTAAAGACTAAAAGACATGAAAATATGAAAATAAGCTTATGGCGAAACCTGGCAGGACAAGCCTTTGGTGCTTACTAATGTCGGATGAATCTCGTCGCGTAATTATATCAAGTGTTAATACATCCATATGATATCATACGCATGACCCATCACGCACTAAACTTTGATTTACTTCTGTTAGATTATTGGTAGTAATTTCACGGGTTATCAGAGATGTCTCCACAGTTCACGGTGAACAATGCATTGATTAGATATTTTGCCACGAAGTCGCAAAGTCGATGCACTGCTATAGTAACTGGGGAGTTATCCATGAAGTTACGCTATAATTATCCGGTTCTGATAATTAAACTTTTGCTGTTGCAAATTACTCCACGTTCAAAGTATAATGGCCGTGCATTCTGTGCAATACTCTTTAAAAAACCCTTGTCCTTTACTTCAGTCACACCAGCGGTTTGAAGTAAGTCTACTGCATAACACACATTGCGATTTCGATGCTTCATTTCCGCTGATTGAAACGTCTTGAGACAGGCCTTCCGTAAGATGTTTAAGCTGGAAGATTCGTCTTTCATATCTTATACTTGCACGTGAAAGCTGATAGGTCGTTCGTCCGTAAAGCTGACACACCTTTGGAAAGACCAATCTGAGAAAGCTTTGAGGGAGTCACGTAACTTATAGCTGTTTTTGATACGAATAGCCAGAACATTTCGCAAAATCTTCTTCGTGACCATGCTTTTGTTTACGTGAAATGTGTCATATTGAAATTTTTACAATAATTTCGGCTAGAAAATGAAAATTTTGTGATCATAGTCTTGTTTTGATCTATCCATTAAATATGACGTGATTACGGAAATATCACGTGACTAAACAATCAATAAATTTAAAATCCTATAAATTTCATTGGATTAATTACTGTGTTACCACCTCCATGGCTACTTTATTATTATTGAAATATTCCTAAATAGTCAATGAATGTATAATAAAAATTATTGACTATACATACGATCGACAATTGATCAACATTGTGATAATGCTTATTGCATCCATATTCCATAATTAATAAACTCTCTCTCTTTTTGTATTATGTGTGTCTTAACGAAAGAGGTTTCTAAATCTTATTCAACTTGTGTTTAATGTGCTAGAATTGCCAAGAATTACAAGAAATAAAGAAACAACTATATATAATAGGAAGTATTATACATTATTATAATCATGATTGATGCTTGCTTCATTGGAAACCTAGGCGTTGTCACAACATGCTTAGAATGACTAGTCATCCCAATGGATTATGCAAATTTCACAACATTGATTAATCCTGATGGTTCATTATAGAAGGTAGATTCATAATCTAAGTAGGGAATTTGCGGGAAAAGAGAATAATAATTGATGGAGTAAAGCTTCTGATTTTGATGGATGAAAAATTTGAAAGTTCTCCCAGATACCCAAGTTGCATAAAATTTATCATGCCAATTTGGATGAACTTAATAACTGTCGAGAGAATTTAAATCTAACAATTACTCAAATATCATTAAGGAAAATATGGAGGGATTGCAAGACGGATCTTTGGCACCGATACGTCTTTAAAATCACAACGACAACGAGGAAATTATGAAGATGATATCATTCCACATCTGTGACTTCGCGTGGCTGGAAAATGTGTTCAGAAATTTATTGGAATTCAAGGGACATAGCGGAGATGGCAACTCTAGTTATATTGCTGCCAAACATGAGATACTTAATGCTTATATACATAAATAAATTCTAAATAGTGATCAATTTATTCGAACCATTTTATTGTCGAATCAGAAGTCTCGATGAGGCAATTCGGGTAGTGAGTAAGAATCTTGATAAAATGTTACAAGTATGTGTGATCACAAGATTATTCTTTCATCGATCACATTTTTGAGATGACATCAGCCTCATAACATTCATATAAATCATTACTAAATCAGGGTTGAATCAACATCAATCACATGAACTGAAACATAATTTAACATCCGCCAATCGTTAATCATGCGGCTTCCCTTTTTCTTCGCCACATGTTATATTATGATATATAATCAAGACATCGCCACTTAACCTCCTTCCTTTATAGTTTTCAAAGTAGTGGTTAGTAGTTATCTTTCTTATCGTGACCACAAAGACCATAAACCCTTTCTCTATCGGTCAATTTACACTTACTTTTGCCCATTTGACTACTATTCACAAACTGACAATATGAATCCAGAATAGTAAGTAAAGGCCTCCTTTGCTCCTTGGCATTAGAGGTGTTTTCATTCGAACTTTGAGGTTTTTACATTCCGAACTGCAGTGAACTAGATTTATGATTTGGATGACCTTGAGAAACCTAATATACTATTGACATAACTAAGAACTAACAACCCTGATTTATAAAGCAACTGTTAGCTTTATGAATTTCGTTCCTATTTATGTTATCTTTCGTATTCTTTTTATTTTTTTACTCGTGGTCATCATCTCGTTGCTATTCTTCGCCACGTTAAATCGTGAACTTTGTTGTTTATTTTTCAAACAACAAAAATTTCTATATACATAAACTTCATTTTGTTAAATGTAACTAATATTTTTATTATTTATTTATAAACTATAGTGACTATCTCTTCAAACTTCTGTTGATAGGTGATTCTGGTGTCGGGAAATCATGCTTGCTGCTTCGATTTGCAGATGATACATATACGGAGAGTTATATTAGTACTATTGGTGTTGATTTTGTAAGTGATTATTACAATATAAGTAACAGTATTTTGTCTTTATTGGCTTTTAAATTTCTATGGAAGAGTAAACCTGAAAGATATAATCTAATGATGCGGATATTTCTCTGTTATTTGAATACTTAGAAAATCCGAACAATCGATCTTGAAGGCAAAACCGTAAAATTACAAATCGTATGTTACCTCATAGTGTAAAGTTATTCTGCAATATTAAGGACAACTACTAATTGTTATTAAATATTAGTGGGATACTGCTGGACAAGAACGATTCCGTACAATTACTTCTTCTTATTATCGTGGAGCCCATGGAATCATTGTTGTTTACGATGTTACTGATCAAGATACCTTTACCAATGTTAAACAATGGCTTCAGGAAATTGACCGTTATGCTTGTGAAGGTGTTAATAAATTATTGGTTGGAAATAAGAGCGATTTGGCGAATAAAAAAGTAGTGGAATACACAGTTGCTAAGGTGCTTGTCAATTTCAACATGATCAGATTTGCTGAAGCTTTGAACTTTATTTCAAGTTAACTTATTTTATTTAATTTCTTTTTTTTTTTTTTTTTAGGAATTTTCCGATCAATTGAATATTCCATTCTTGGAGACTTCGGCGAAGAACGCTACGAATGTTGAACAAGCTTTCTTGACAATGGCCAAACAAATTAAGGACAGGTATTAAAAACAAAAAAAAAAAAAAATTCCAAATTGTTGACTTTCTTTTGAATACATGTTATAATTTACCATATTTATTCTTTAACAGGATGGGCACAACAACTGTCTCCAATGGAACTCCGAAGCAAACCGTTAAAGTTGGACCCGGTACTTCGGTACCCCAACAACAAAGTGGAGGCTGCTGTTAGATTTGTTGAAATACAAGCATAGGGTGGCTAAAGGATTGTCGTAATCTTGTTAAATATATTGGATCTTTAATTCTTTTTCGATTTACCTTTTTTTATCTTTTGGTTTAAACCGAGGGTTTTATTATTCAAGTGAACATTATTTCACACAATCTGTCGGGGGGTTTTTTTTAATATATTATTTAGTCTTAGGGGTTTCTTAAAGATTAGAAAGAAGATTCTTTAATACTTAGTATACAGTATACAATTGTTTTATTTCTTCAATAATCTTCACCGATCTGGTAATTTGTAGATGTTAGATGAAATTATTGTTTATATACTAAACTTTTTTGTATCTAGTTCTAAGATGCGTGAGCATAATTTTCATTTCTCAATTATGGGATTATGAATATGTAATTTGATATATATATATATAATTTTTCACCTTTTTTCACTTTTTTTTTTTATTTCTATATATTTTCATGTCTTTGTTCTTTTTTTATAATATAAATATATTCTTTTATGCTAATTTGAAATTAAATGATTATAATTTGTTTATTATTTCTTTTAGTTAATAAATTTTTTGCAAGAGAAAAAACAATTATTTAACAAATAGTGATTTAAGTTTTTAATAGAAATCATAATTATAGCATAATATATAATCAATAAAACAATTTTTTATAATAAAATTAATATAAGGATAATATATAACTTATAAAATTATTAGATTTATAAATATATTTAAAGTAAATTAAAATAAAAAATAATAAATTAAATTTGTTAAATTATATATATTTTTTTTATTAAATTTAATATTAATTATTATTAATTTATACAAATTATATCAAATAATTTAGCATTAAATTATATTAACTTTATTTTAAATCAGATAATAATTTTATAAATATATTATTTTTTTTTTTTTTAATAATTTAATTTTGCTAAATATTAATATTTGAAAATCAAATAATAAATAATTAAAAAGATAATTTTAACTAAATAATTAAATTCTAATAAATATATTAATATTTATTAGAATTTGATTGTCAAAGATTTATTTGACTCTTTGCTTAATTAATTGACCAAACAGTCAATTAATCTTAACCAAATAGATGTTTTATAGTAAAAAAGAAAAAAATTACTAAAAAATTTTTTTTTTAACTTTATAAGCTAAACATGATTTTTTTTTAGTAAATAAATCTAAATTTAATATTAACTAAAAAATTTTCTTTTGAAATTTCTTTCTTTTCTATTGCAAAATATCCAAAATTGCTAAAATTAATATTAATATAAATATAAAATAAAAAAGTTTATAAAATTTATTCTAAAATTTAAAATAAAAATCAAAAATAAATAAATAAAAAAAATCTCTTTATTTTAATAATTTAAAGATTATTAAGCTTATAAAAAATATATTTATTAATAAAAAAAATTATTATAGAATTAAATTTATAGAACTTTTAAAAATATTATTTTAAAAAAAAATTATAAATTTAAAATAATAAATATAATAATAAAAAAATTTTTAATTTAATTTAATTTAATTTATTTATTAGAAATAATGATATAATTTTTTTTTATTTAAATAATAATATATAACTTTAAAGAAAATATTAAATATTTATTTTATTACTAAAAAAATAAAAATAAGTTAAAGTTAAATCTGAATATATTTTAATCTAAAGATTATATTTAGAATATATATAATCAAAACTGATTATAAAAAATCTATATATATTGAAATTTGATTATAATTAAGATTATTTGTCTAAACTTATTTAGATTTAGCAAAAAAGTCTAAACTATAGTTTTGTTATGTTTTACTAAAATTTTAATATAATTTTACATCTTTATAAACTTTGATATAGTTTTACTTTTTCTAGAATTTCGTAGATTTTTTAATAAGGTTTTAATATAATTTCATTAAATTTTACTTTTTTTTATTTAAACAACTAGCAAAACCTCTAGATTTCGTTTAGCAACCTTAATTATAACAAACTAAAATTTTTAGATTAAATTTTTATATTTATTTATACTAGATATAATAAACTTAATTATAAAATTTTATATACTTCATCTTAATTAGCTGTGATATATCAACTATATATTATTTATACTAAAATTATAGATGCCTGCTGAA